AGCAGATCGCCAAAATGTGAAACATGATCAGCTTAATCCTCATGAAAAGAATAATAATACATCAACACCAAAATCAAAGTTAACTGGATCAAGTTACAATTCTTCATCATCAACAGTCACTGTAGTCAACTCCTTAATACCTAAATTACCAGATATAGTATCACCCACCAATCAAAAAGTTCACAATACATCCTTTAGTGAGTTTGTTAACAGAATAGTCAGTGAAAATAAACTTAATACAAGTATTAGGTGAGTAGTCTTGTTAATTGATTGTTTTATTTATCTGTATTCATAGAATGAGGTAACTTCATGTAATAGATCAGGGTTGAACATCTGTGAAATATGTTGACATAACTGTTATAGCAAAAAATTGTCACATATAATGACTAATTAATCGATAATTTTTTAAAATAATGCAAGATGTGCATGAGTATCTTTAAGTAAGTATCCAATGACTTATAAAAAGTTAAGCCAAATCATGAAGTAAATTGATCCAGGAAAATAATGTTAGGTACTTGTCTAACTTGATTAGACTTGGTGTGACCACCTTTCAGCAGTCAGAAATATGACTAGATAAAGGTATATTCTCTTGTTGTTAAGTTCAAAATGATAAAAGTTGACAATATGATCTCTTATAGACTAAATTTGAAGGCTTTAGACCTTCACAAATATTGTGAAGATTAGATTTGGTATTGACCAGGGAATAAGGGATTTTTACATAGATGACATAATAATTGGCTCATAAATAAATATCTTATAATTTTTTTGGTTTAAAATTGAAGGGCACTTGAATTTAATGATAGACAGTTTGAACTGTTTTCATAATTATTTATTTTGCTGATATTTTTAGCAATTAAGAAAATACTTAAACTATTTATTAATAAGTGTGTTTATATTTTAAAGCAATGATTATTTGTAAGGATGTGGGTTATGAAGCTGATATTTTGATTTCAATTTAAGTTATTGTTGCACTTTTTACAGGTCAAAGTCCAATGTTGGTGATACAACTGTTGGCTCAAGTAATAGCTCAAGAACTGTAAGTTCAATAACTTCTATTGAAGATAAAGATAATGTTGTAACAGTAGTCAACACTATAACTATATCACCTACCATTAATAGTGTTGTATATTCTGGAGAAAGTGGTATATCAGTACCTACCACTAACAGCAGTTCTACTTGTGATAAAACAACCTTGGCCTTAGATCAGGTAGAAAAACCATCAAGGATTGTCAATATATTGTCAACACCTAAAGGGAATACTGCTGTTAACAATAAGACTGCTGAACAGCTGATTTATATGAATGACAAAAACAAAGGCATCATACCTTCTGCAGCACCAGGCTCTTTCAATAATTCCAAACATGTATTGTCAAAGACGTCGCCAATTGGAATCACACCTGCAGTTAAAGGACTACTCCCTGCTTCTACTGCTATCACAGTGACATCAAACTATTATCCTCAGTCCTTGGTTTCTCTATTGAGAACCAACAGTGCCCCAATTATCAGACCAGCCTCAGTTGTTACCAGTACAGCTACTCCTACAAGAGCCAACTCTACACCAGTACCAGCTAAAAACGCACAGTATCAACTTAGTAAGAGATCAACGCCCACAGCTACTATCACTTCTGGAGGTATCCCAGGTTCATTGACTACAAAACCTCAAGTTCTAAAGACAGGTACACCTTCCAGACTATCTTGGACATCAACAGGTGTCTCAACATCTACTCTTACACCTCCAGTAATGTCAAATACACCCACACCAATACATCAAGTTTTAACTACTAGGCAATCCTTTACACCAACAATTGTTCCTGGTGTACATAGTGCTTTATCATCTGCTAATACTACTACTCCTTCAAAGAGAGCCTTTACATCACCTAATACAGCAAGTACAACAACAGGTAGTAGGTTTGTTTCAAGTGCCAGAAATCCAACACCAACAATTAGCCAAGGCAAATACAACACTGTTTCTAACCAAAACTCAGCTTCAACACCAACTAGTTCTCTGTCTACGAAAGCTGTCATTAGTTATATTCCATCAACGCCCACTACCTCAAGTATCATTATGCCCAGTAAAATCTCTCAAAGATCAGAAGTGGTAAGTGCAGTATTTTTTAAGAAACTATATTCAAAACAGAGTTTTTGAGGTCCAAATGACAAAATTCCAGTATTTCCTAAATCTGAGTTGTGAAACTATATTGAATGTCTGACTGCAAGATCAGAAAATAACTTCTTATGTTGGATGACACATCTTTTCCAGATTTATGGAAATATAACCATTAGTTATATTTAAGATGAAAGCACGATAAGTTTCATCAGAGTGAAAAATAAGAGCTTTGCTTTCTAACGAGTTAAATAGAAATTTAACTATTTGTCTTAATATTATAGTTGCAGTTGTTCCCTGATGCTGACCCGAAGTATATAGATGAATTGTTATCAATGTTTAGTGGGGAAACTGCTGTCAATAATGTTTGTTCTACAATGATTGATAATCCTAGTTATCCTAGAGTAAAACATTCTGAAGTCATTGTTATCTCCCCTTCACCAGATAAGGTAGTTCAAAATTGATGCATTCTATTTCTGACTTTCTCTTATGGTTTATGAAGGCAAGCACCTTAAAACCTTTTGAATAAAACATTACAAAATGTAGAGACGAGAACAAGTATAATTATACAATTTGAATTGTTCAGTCTTATTAAGATCACTTAATAAAACTGGGTAACAAGAAACCTGTTCTGTTCCAACACTTCTATACTGCCCCTTAATTAAGGATTAAGACATTATTTCAAGTCCAATAGTAAAAATTCTCTGTGTTATTTTCATGTTAATCTTCAAGATTTTGTTCTATAAAAGATCTCTGCATAGTCATTCAAGATCCTAGAAACTAGTTATATTTATTAGTTGTTAGATTGTTGGCTTATTTTAAGTTACCACGTAATAGTCATTAATAGCTGATGAAATTTTTTATCAAACTTACTGTTTGACTCAATCAAAATATTGTGCATGAGATAAATAAGACAATTATTATGGATGGATACTTCTTGAATATTTATAACTTTCAACATTTCAATGTGGTCATTCATTATATTCCTGATGATGGTGTGAGAACCACATTGAAATATTTAAAGTAATAGATATTCTAGAAGTATCCAACCATGATAATTGTCTTATTTATCTATAACCTGTGCTTCTAACGTGTCGTTGATTGATTATTGTGCAATAAGTAACTATCTGTCTGTATTTCAGAATAAAGAGGATGGTAAAATAGATTATTATACAGCTTATATAACAAAAGACAGTAGCTGTCCATATTTTAGAGAAGCACTAGATATGTTGAGTAATGATTTCAGAATGATAGCTGTCAGAGATATTACAGCTGTGATGCATTTTTATAAAAATTATTATGCTCCAGCACATAGAGCCTTATCACTGGCTTTTCAGTCGGCAATGCAGAAAAATACTGGTAGGATATGAATTTTTAATTTAAAAAAAATCAAAATGTATTTATCTGTCACTCAATAAATAAGTAGTTATGTTCTTCAAAAAGGGTTACTATATGTATTGAGGTACATTTTTTCACACCTTCTTGACAGGAATAATTCTCACAGTATATTTTAACACACATTTATCCTCATGAATAATTCAATTCAAAATGGCAATATAAGCTTACCTATGTGTTTATTTTTTAGACCCTATGAAGAAAATAGAATCAGTTGAAGTCAAATTAATGAAAAATGGTCAGTATTTTAGAACTTTACAACTTTATTTTGTCTCAATGAAAGGAATTTTGATTTTCAACACAAGTAAACTTGCCTGTCACTCTACACCTTGTTGAAGGCAACATTTTTAGAAAAATGCCAGACAAGCTAATTTGTTCATTAATGATGGACTGTGGCGAGCAGAAACTTTTCTAAAATGATAGATACATATATATATATATATATATATATATATATATATATATACACTATACCTAGGCTTTGGTAAGGCCATTGTTAATTTGTTTTGGATAAATATAACTAGATGTCTATTCTATTTGCCTCATTTAAAAACTTTTACAGATAAAGTAGAAAAAGTTCGTCATTGTCGATTATTAAAGAATAAACGTATCAGTTACAGAATAAGTGTAAGACTTTGTCAAGAATTCAAGAAAGAAATGGACTTTGTAGCTTACATGATAGCTAAAGAGAAAGTTGTAAGTTATGAAATTATAGAGATTATTGGATATCATTGCACACTTGTTTAATCTTTTATACAGTCTAATTAAAATTACACCAAACTTTCATTCTGTTTTATTATTAGCTTTTATTTTTAATATAGCCACTTCACCTAGGGTCTAACGACTGCCCACTTGAATGGTTGTCAAATTAACCTTTTGACACTACTGCACGCCGCATTGCAAAATACTAGTGCTGGAGAGGGGAGAAATTTGATTGGTTAAAGCAGACATGGCATTAGGTCAATAGTTTATTTGACGACCATTTAAGAGAGCTGTTGTAAGACCCTAATTGAAGTTAAAAAAAAAAAAATTGAACAAAGGTTTTAATTTTAATTAGACTGATCTTTTAATTAAACTCAATAGACCTAGAATAGCATGATTATCCAGTCTAGTTTCTGACAATATTAAAAGTCAAGATGGAACAGAAGAAGTTTAGTTCTTCTATGCTGCAGGAAGAACTCCATAAAGATTAGATCAAAAAGGATTAAGGAAAAATCTGAAATTCATTGTTGTCTTTTCTTGGCCTATTGGAATAATCTTTTTCAGCACTATTAGCTTTTAAAACACATTCAAGTATTTGTTCAAGTTATTGTTAAAATTTGGCTTGTTTTGAATCAGCATATTACTATATTTGTGTAATTTGCAATTAGTGTCAGATATGAGTAGCTATGTAATTTACAACCCTTACGTGGTACTAAGTCTTATCATTGACTCTCATCTATTTCAGGATGCTGATGCTGAGGTGGCTCGTAAATTAAATGAAGCCCAATATACAGAAGCTGGTGATAATATTGAATGTGGGTGCTGTTATGGTGAACAACCTTTTGAAGATATGGTACAATGTTATGATGGCCATCTATTTTGTAAATCTTGTCTACAAAGTTATGTTAGAGAAGCTGTTTTTGGATCAGGAAAGGTAGAGACAGAATACAATTAATTTCTCAAAGTCTAAAATAAATCCAAATATAAACAAAAACAATGTACTTTGTTGAATATAACATATAATTCTTATTTGGAAACAAACTTTTTCGCACAGCTACAAAATTGTTAATGTGTTGATTTTTTCTTTAACTCAACCGCACATATCAAAATTTCATTAAAATGTACAAAATTTCAAGATTTTAGACTAATGTCACTATATTGATTTGAAGTGGAAAATGAAAATTTTATTCTATATTATGTATAATATATCAAATGGTTATCAATTTTGATTAATTTGGCATTATTTTCATTATCAGTTAGACCTTAGGTGTATGACAGAGAGCTGTGATACCAATTTTCCTGAAAGTAGGTGGCATTTTAGATAATCTATACTATTTAACTCAACATATTTCTCTTTATAATGTAAACAAATTGTTGTTAATTTGAGTATTAATATGGTTAGGTATATAATATGCTGTTGACACTATGTTACTGATAAACATCATAATGACACTTATCATTGGATATAATAATATATGGTATTTCAGACATATTGGCACATAAAGGCAACTCACTGAAAATGATTATTCATATATGAATTCTTTATTGAATAAATTTGGTTGGGAAATGAGGGGTTTACATCTAATATATGGACAATTTACATGAATTTAAGTAAGGGAAATCACTGAACATAATATTTTTGTTGTTGTAGGTCAATTACAGTGTTGTTTAGAAACTGATGTTTTAGAGAAATATCAAGAACGTGTTAGAGAGGAAAATCTGAACTTGGCAGATTTAGAAGATTTAGTCAGGTATGCACAATGAATTTTGTAAAAACACATAAGGAAAACACAATTCATATCATAGAAATTTGATTTCAAATTGCGATTGTATAAGATAATTATAAGTGACTATTTGACCAATAGTTCTATTTAATGATGAATAATGTGGTCTGTAGTTGTACAGATGTGTAGGGCAGTGTACTCTAGCATGAGTTATTGAGTTTGTATTTTGTTTCAGATGTCCGAACTGTGAATATGCAGCTATAATGGATTCTGGTGATAAGGTTTTTAGATGTCAGAATATACATTGTTTAAAGGTATTGAGACTTATTTGAAATATTAATATATCATAATGTATGTACCCTTAATTCATTGATGATAGCACATTTCACATGTCTAATTGGTTCAGTATCACACCCAGATTCCTGTCCATGCAACTCATTAAAGATTTGATTGTATTTATTATAATTAGGAAACGTGTAGATTTTGTAAAGAAGAATGGAAAGACCATATTGGTATTCCTTGTGAAGAATTAGAAAAGAAAGATGAGGCAGCATTACGGAAAGAATAGTAAGTCTCAGTTTATTGAAGGCCTTAACCAAACCAAAAGTTTAAATGAGGTAAAGAGAGTCTGGGTGGATTAAAAAAAATGTTATCATTGTTTCAAAAGTGAGTCATTTGCCTTCATAACTCTGATGCCTTGGTGTTCTTGAAGTCAAGACTATTGTTCATTAGACTGTGTTAGAAACGTCTAAATTCATTCATTTGTTTATATTTTTGCAGTGAAGAGAAAATGACAGCAGCAAAAGTGCGAACCTGTCACAAGTGTAAGTCACAGTTTATGAAAGAAGAAGGTTGTAATAAGATGACATGTAGATGTGGTGCTACTATGTGTTACGTCTGTAGAAAACCTACAGTAAGTTATTGTACTCTGTTGAATATATAGGTAAATTTCAGATAGAGCTATAGAAGTTTATATTCCCACTGACTGATTGTGTTACAATTACACTCTACTCTCATCTCACTCCAATAAGCCAATAACCTAAACTTCAGGGATTCTGAATCAAGTTTCACATACTGCTCCAGCTACAAAAGCTTACTTGATTATTGAAGATAATGGATACTTTAAAACTTATAATTGCCAAATTCAACAGTTTTTGAATCACTATTTGATTTATAACTGATACACCTCAAATTATTTCCATATTATAATACCGGTATATAATATATTTAATATTGATTTATGTCTCCTGTATGTTTTCAGATACATTATGATCATTTCTGTCAGCATCCTAGAGATCCAGGTAGTAACTGTAAAAAATGTAAAGCATGTTCTTTATGGACTAATCCAGAGGTATGTTATTTCTTCAGATATATAATTTGGCCTGTGTATATATATATTAAGAAAGCAACAACAAGTTCTAAAAGCAAGTATATATATATATATATATATATCTCCTGCAACTGGGTTGCTTAAAGAACTCGTAGACGAACTGGTGAGCGCTATGGTGTAAGGGCACCTTGAGGTATATTATCTACCCTTTAAAATTCTAATTCCATGTATGATTTTGTTCTAGGAAGATGATCAAAGAGCTGTGTCAGAAATTCAACAAGAAGCCCAGCAAAAGAGACGTGAAAAGGGTATATTTTAAAATGTATACTTGATGTATTGTGCAATTGATGTAAAAATCTTTCATGTGTTTCTCCCATTGCACACATCATGATGTGGTTGCTCTTTATTAGAATTAAAAAAGTGTAGAAAAGCAGGATGTAAGACAACATTTCATTGTAATAAAGATTTATACTAATAAATGTCAGTTTAAATCTAAGCAATTTAAGTGAAATTCTAATTATTAACATTTTATTCTCAGGATTTTTAGATGATAAATTGATAGGAGGAACAACAGGTGAACCCCCAGCAAAGAAAGCTCGGACAAAATAGTACCAAGCAGTAGACCTGTTACTAGTTACATGTTCAACATTAATTAATAAACTAATAAATACTTACGAAAAATGGAAAAATGACAAGCATTAAAACAATGCCTTACCTGTGTTTAGTTTCTTTTAATTTTCTGTTTTGATGTCACTGAATGGAAAATATGTCTACACCAGTGATCAGTGCCTTAAAATAAGTGCTCAGTGTTTGTTTGTCTTTCATTTGTACATGTTATTTTTCTGTTCAGTATTACATCAATGTACATTCCTTAAAGCAACAGTATATTTGTTACAAATTAAATTATGTAATAAAATTCGATGAAAGATTTGGTTAGAAATTAAATTTGAGTTTTAAAGAACAAAATGGGATGTGTGTACCTGAAAGAAGATAAGATATAGGTGACATCAAAAGATAAATTGGTGTACAGTAACTGTTGCTTTAAGGAAAATTTATGGTAATAAGTACGTAATGTTTAATGTTTGTCAAGGTTAGTATTTCATATGTCTTTCACTATAAAGTTTTTTTCTTGTTTATTATACACTATAATCTATATTTTGATCTATTTTTTCTGTTATTGACTTCTTGAATAGCATATGGTCTGAAATAATAACATTTTTACAGGTATTTAACTGATTCCCTCCATATACATATACAGTTTAAAATAAATTAAATTTCAGTTTAATCTACCAAAGGTGTTTTTATTTAAGCAAATCATATCGACACAGATGAAAGTGTGCATTTATACTCAGCCGTCAAAGCGAGTTGATACAGTTTACTTCAACAAATATGCCTCTATACTTTTCTTTGTATGTTCTGAAACATCTGTCATGTGGGTAATTTCCTTCACATTCTGGTCACAGATAAACCATCTCAACTTAGCTAAGCTAATTACCGGTACTTGTTGCGACATTTTTTTTAAGTAAAGTGTACCTTAAAGGTATTAATGACGTGGAGCAATAAAATGACATTTGAACTGTCAGAATCCGGTGATCACAAGGCAATCTGGAATTTAAACAAATTTTCATAGAAAATCTAAAAGAAAAGTCATAATTATATGCAATCATTCATTATATACATATTATTTAGTATCAAAACTTAGTAATAACCTAAAGTTACTGTATATTGGTGGGGTCCTATACACATGTATACTGATTATAATGTCAAAGTTTTCATACAGATTTATTTGATGTATTAAATGTTATCTCTGTCTCACACTGTAAAACTCTAGGAATTTGTTGATTCTCATTCCTATATGTTACTCCAAATCGTTATTCTGTTGATTGTTGAACAAATAAATATTTTTCGATTTCTATTTTGTCATTGATTGAATATCTGTTGAAATATTTTGTTATGACATCCCAGATAAGTAAAAGTTGTCAAAAAAATAAGTTTGTAAAGGCATTATTCTTCTGGCCTGGTCAAATGCTGACCTAGCATAATAATAATACCAATATCTTATTATTATAGATATTCCTGTATTTTATTTATTTTAATTCTTAGTTTGTGGTTTGAATAAACAAGGCTGCTAGATGCTAAAAATTCTTAGATTGACATAAAGTCTCAAAAATGCAGATATGCGATCCTCCCATGCCATGCCATGCCGTGTCACGCCACACTCCCTTCCGCAGGTTAAATCTTTGTTGCCATTTTAAAAATACGAGTGACAATTTAACAGGCATTTCTGTGATCACTGATACATTCATTCATTATGATGTACCGGCCTGAGATACTGGAAGTGCACGACTATTTAACAGGTGCTCGTATTATTGGCCAATCAGAAGTCTTTATTCCCCTTACACCGAACCGTTAATATAACTAGCAACAAAATAAACAAATTCCATCCAAATAGGAAATATGGTTGGATTTTATTGAAAAAGGATAGGAATACATAAAAATGTCTGGATTAGCTGGTTTGTTTGGGTTATCCAGAAAAACTCGACCTGATGTGCTAAAGGAAGAACCCAAGTATGTATTGATATCTTTTTACTGAAGTAATTTTCCTGTTTTGTCAGCGTTTTATATGCTTATGAGATTGAGAAAACAATTAGAGGGGGAAGGGGGGGTGTTGGTGTCAGTTATGGAATTTTGAAAATATATAGTATATTGTATACAGGGTCAAGGTGAAGGTCTGAAAAGTTGTGAAAATTGACATTGACACTGTAAACACGATAATCACGAGAGGTATCGAATGAGGTATAATACTGGTGTCAAATTTCTCCACCCAAGATGTGGATGCAATCCAGAAGTGTGACTGAATTATATGTCGCATATAAACTTAATCTTATATGTTAGGCTAGAGGAAGAGGAAGAGAAGAGTGATTCTGCCAAACGTATAACAGATTATGAAGAAGAAGAATATAATGATATTCCTATTGATAATGAAGATGTTGATGAAGATTTTGATGATTTTCTAGGGTATGATCATCTTAATGTCTGATGCTTAAAATCGAAGTGGGGATATTGCTTTAAGATTTCGAAATGGTCATTTAACATTACTAGTACAGGACAGTCAAAAACTGTCAAGCCAATGATAAAAAATTCCAAAGATTTGTATCCAAGAGCTATGATTATTGCTTTTGGTTGGTTGATTTTTATGTATTTATTAATGAATTGAAAGAGTGTTTTTTACAAAAAGTCTTCAGCTTAGTAGATGAATAAAAAAAAGATAGAAATGAGCAATAAACCAAATTATCCTTCAAATAAAAGAATAAAGACCTTGATTTGATTTCAGTGAAGAACACGAGGAGGAAGGAAAAGACTGGATACCTGTTAACGTAGGAAATGCTAAACCACCAAGATCCATGACAGTTACTAAAATCAAACAGACATTTGATTTACAAGTTAGTAGGCCTTTAATTTACTGCCTCAAAATTTTCTAGAGTTCTCTAAAATTTGTTTAATTATTGGAAATTCCAAAATGTGCCAGATTTGATTAGGAATGTTTGTATTCTGAAAGGGATTACAGGAATCTGTAACTTCCTACTTTTATACCATGCAACAACAGTTGATAAGCACAGCTAACCATATGTTTACATGAGACACCAACATTGTCTTCCACATTCTGCAATTTAACATAGTTTTTGATTCATTTAAGGCAACAAATAACACTGAAACAGCTGTCTGTGCTGAAACTCAAACATCAGAAGAATGGCTGCGAACACATAGTATAGAGTTTCAAAAACTAACTCTTCAAGACCTAGTTGATAAAGGTAAAATTGGCAGGTAAGACTGAATTAGAATTTGTTCACTTGATTTGAAACATATTTGTTGAGTTCCAGAGCACTAAGTATGTCAAAATACTTGATAAACATCATATAAATAGTTTATCAAATAAACATTACCACAGATGATGAAAACTAGGCTGCCATAGTGTGTCAAGAGGTCTTCCCTATGATTTAGCAAATTTGATAGGTATTTTATTTAGATATTTGTTTTGGTATGATTTCAGACTGCATCCTGATAAACAGACTGGTAAAGTTAATCAACATATACAGTTTGATGGTATGGATGTTAATGAGTTTGAGTATAGAATAAATACGTACGTTAAACTTATTAAACATAGAAAATTAAACTATATCTAACATGAAATGGATTTTTATTACAGAATCAATTCATTGTTTACTGAAAACCTCTTTTCTGAGTTGATCTATTAGCTCTTTTTTGTTGGAAATTTGTGTAAAGATTTTATGAAGTTAAGTATATATATATCTTCTATTGTAGAGCTATAGAACAATATACTAAAAGAATAAAGTGGTTGTTACAGGGTAGTAAAAGGGTGAGTTGGTTGTTTGATTGAGTCTGTATTCTCTAATCATCAGATGGTTTTTCGAATGAATTAAGGTTTTTTCTGAAGTTCTCTTTATGGATTTTTTTTCTTTAAATATACTACATAGAATATAATATAATTGTTTGATATTTAATATTAGGTATTTGGTAATGTTGGAGGTAAAAATATTGGTATTTGTATTGATGCCTCAGAAGTCAGTATGGGGTATGGACGACTCACTGCCTTGAAAGAGTCATTGATAGTAAGTATCTAAATTTTTAGCATAGTCAGGCAAACATTTTTTTCAAGGTTTGGGAGCAGTAAAGGAATGCTTTATGTTCTATCCTGTATCTGTTTTATAAGGGAAGAAAAGCTGCTGCTCTAAATGTTCTTGTGGTTGTGGTTATGTGATTATTTTCTTATCAAAGGAGTTATTACAATAATGTTAATGACTCAGGCAGGTTATTGTTAAATCAAGAATTGAAATATTTTCTTTTTCAGCATTTAATAGATGAACAGTTATCCAAGAAATCATCAATGTATGTTCTAACATTTGGTTCTGATATAGATCCATTGTGGCCTGTAGTCAGAGATATTAATGACAGAGTGTAAGTATATTGATTATTATATCTGTCTGTCCTAGACCTTTATTCTTGGTATTTTGTAATGATCTCATCTCCACTTGTCACATTTAATTGCAGACCTCTCAAACAAGTAAATTATGGCTCCAAATGTAAGTTATCTGTAGCAAATATTAACAATTGAATGAATCAACTGGTAAAACTTCGAGAAGATTTACACATGCAGTTGGATTTTGCTCTCTTTTTCTTTGTAAAAATCGATAATCATAGAAAAAGATTACTTTAACTTTCTTTTTCCTTATTACAGAACCGAAGATGCTAAAGAATGGGTTATGAGACTAGGACCATCTGGTGGTTGTAATGCTTTAAAAGCTATACAGAAAGTCATGAAATTGAAAGATTTAGATATGATTTTATTTATATTAGGATCTGTGTAAGTACAAGTCTGTAGTGTATTGTATAGTGGTATTTATGTTTTTGCACATCAAGGTACAATTCAAAACAAAAGCATGTGTAGTCCATAGATTTTTAGGTAGTGTAAGTAGTAATGAACATTTTACTATAATAAAAGTATTGTGAGTAAACGATTGCGATGTATTGATGATAATGGAACACAGATTATGAAATTAATTGATATATATTATAAGATACAATAGTATTATATAATAGTTGAACTTAGATGAAGTTCTTAAATTGTCTGATTCCTAAAGTTAGTCTACAAATATATCAAAACATGTTATTTCTTTCATTTCAATTTATTTCTCACATTTTCAGACCTGACCAAGCTACAGAGAAACTCTGTGATTTTACCCATCAACTTGGAGTAGGGAGACATATGCCTATACATTGTGTAGCTTATGATTGTTCCGACCATTTAACCAATGTAAGTTTATTTTTGTTAGCAAGTATACAGGGCTCTCAAAATAGTATCATGTTCAACTTAGATACATGAATTTCTTTATCCTTTGCTATTAAGAAAACTTCTGATAATGTAAGATTGTTTTCAAGGGAAATCATTAATTGTTTTTGGATATTCTGTGTTCAATAAGATAATTGTATGGTTAAAAATGATTTGTTGTATTACAGATAGCACTACGCAATATGGCAGAAACATCACGAGGAAAATATCATTGTTATACAGCTAACTGTGAGGTAAATTATGTAGGTTTTTTAAAAATGGTTGATATTTTGTAACATTTACAGTACTATTTCTAAGTCCTAGTCATTTTTCAGCAGAAACTACTTGTTGTATGCTTCAAAGCAATCCTCTCATTTTCGAATGGTATTGTGTACAGTGTCGTGGTCTACAATCAATTTTTTTGAAAAATCTGACAATAAAATGCAGGGCATATTTGATGTCTTCATAATTATAAATGTATGTTTTAGGAACAGATCTACAGTGGTACTGATATAAGTTTATTGTTAAAAGAAATTCACCGTTGTCAAGATATTCTGGGTAAAATAAAAGAAATGAGACAAGGAATGATGGGTACTGCTTTAATTAGTATTATGAATGAGGTATGTTCATTGTGTTTACGGATCCACTATATTTATTATATATTATTATTATATTCCCATATATGGAGAAAATTGATCTATAAAAGACTACCTGGACAAATTACACAGCAAGAGATAACCTAAAGACTTGGGAGAGTGCATAATAACAGTCATCTTTTCACATTATTCCATCCAGCCCAGCTGTAAATAGGTACAGCACATACAGGAAAGATTACTGGTAGAAAAGGATCCTTACAAAGCTTAGTTGTTATCCTAAAAAAGGCTGTTTCTTTCTTTCTATATGTAGCTATTAATGTTTATATGTATATTTAGAACTAATGTACTGTATTTGTACTATAGATAACAGCTGAAGTAGCCAAACTACCACAATCTAGATTTTTACCTAGACCACCAGGACACGAAGATCCTCTCAGAATTGAGATTCCGAAATTTCATATCCGAGGATCTAGGGACTGGTTAAAACAGCATGGTTTGAAAGGTAACTTTGATTATTTCTTGTGTTGCTATATAAAAGTTTAGAAATTTAATGTACCGGTAACTTAAAAATTTAGGATGATTTTGACTTTGAAAATATTGTTTTATGTGTTTCTGTTGATTCATATTTTAGCCAAAAGATTACATCTATACCAAGTACTAGCACCTAATGCCTACGCCTTTAAAGAAGAATATATTCCAATTATTAATAAGGCTGTACAGTCTCAAGTACATGAGGTAAATAACTCTCTGTATTTTTTAGAATGTTATTTAGAGCCAAGACAATTTTAGATCAAGGGCTAGTTCTAATGGAAGTGCCAAGGGATTTAGACTTATATATACCTATTTAAAAATTCTCTACTATACAGCTTGGCTCATCTCAGGGATTTGTATTTAGCAGAAATTTAGTCTTGTAAACTGGTTTTTCTCTGAACCTCTATTATTGAAATTGTGTCACTATAAAGGGACTTATTAAATTGTGATATTTTGACTTTGATATTAATTTCCAAGATCATGATTTCAGAAAGCTATGGTACAGTTTCCGTGGCATGATGGATCTATTAAGAACATCCATGTTAATATGTCACAGTTATTTGAGTATCAGAAACAGTTGAAGGCAGCAGTGAGTTTGTTTGAAAGACGTGTAGACTGGCTCGCTAGTGGTAGTAGAAGAATCTTTGGTACTATCACTGAGAAAAAGTAGGTGGCCTTATATTTGTGTAACAAAATGATTTACTTAAAATAAATGCCCGATATAACATAGTCCCAGAAACTCTCTGACATGATTTGCAGATACCAACAATATTATAGCATGACTGAATGGTGAAATATGGATAGGTATTCCACACCAATCATAGATTTGATACATGTCTATCACAAAGGTTCTTTAAATTATTTTAACAATCAACTTTACTTGCTGCAGAAAAATGTGTCCCGGCCATTTTGTTTTTTATGTATTTTTTTTTTTTTAATTTCAGTGTGGTAATATTGATAGATACCTCAGTTTCAAATATCAATTATTTAGTTCATATGCAACATTCTATTCGATTATTGATGGAACAACAGATAGGAAATAAAGAATACTTTAATATCATTACGTAAGTATAGGTTAGATTAATCCTTTCCAAGTTACTATCTATATCATAGATTGTTGATTAGGTCAAGTTTCTCTCAAAATAACAAATTAATTTCTTTCAGTATGCTCTTGAAAGTTATTCATCACAATTTTACAACTTTCTTTATGATTGATATGATCAACGGCATTATTCAATCTTATATTTTGCTATTTGGTAAATGTGAATGAATTTTATTTGATTTTTGTTTCTATATTATGATAGATTTGGAAGTGAAAGTAAAGCTTGGAGACCAACAATGGTAAAACCTACATTAGAAAATCTTCAAGATGCTTGGAAGTGAGTAATATAGAGATGGAATTTCAACTTGTATATAACTGCCCTTAATGATATGATATGAAGAAACTTTCTGAATATTGGCAAACTTTTATTCAAAGCATTCCACATACAGATAAATGATCGTTTCTCTGCCTTTCTTCCTGTATTCATTAGCCCACATGGTGCAGAAAAGTAGTTTGTAAACCTCCATTCATTTCATTTCATTTTCTTCCTTTCTTCAATACAATTATTAAGGACTTTCGTTGCTTTTTTTACACTTGAGATAAAATTGGATCATATGATTTTTTGAGAAATCACATTCACAAGTTCACATTGTTTTTTATAATATAGATTTGTACTGGACATACAATGTGGTGGAAGTAGAAATTTCCTCTCAGCTTATAGAAGAGCTGTAGAAAACGATGATGAAATTAAACATCATATAAGTAAGTGTTGTTAAGATGTTAGGGAATCTTCTTTGTAAAAATTTCATGATAGTTTTTGCAAACTTTGAAACATCTTCATCTTCTGAAGATGTTTCTATATATTTTTGAACCATTCTGGTTATTATTAAAATACTATTGATGGGCAATGGGGTGACTCTGTCGATCTAGCATTTGATGAGAAGGATTTCTTTTGCTAGTCAGTACTATTTGGTTACTCAGTTAATTCAGTTATACCTACATAATAACTAAAAAATTGATAAAACTTTTACAGATGTTCAAGGTATATATTTATTTACCAGTGGTGTACCAGATCAAACCCAGGATGTAGCTGGGGCGTATATAGAGGAGATGAATTGTGGTCGACATATTAAACTACATTCTATATTATTTAATGTTGATGATTATAATGCTGAAGGAGCCATACCTGGACGCTATGCTAATATTACACGAACTGCCGAATGTTTGAGAAACTTGGCCCACTGTAGTACTGGTAGATTTCATTGGTTTAGAGAAACAGGTAAAATTATTTAAACCAGGTATTCCCTTGTTTAACATTAGATGAGTAAATTAGTTGTTAGTTTGATCCTTTCATAGTCTTTAAATCCATAGGATACTCATTTTGACAACAAAGTTGAGTTTAAAGATACCAATTCATCAACTGGAGTCTAAACCAAATAATATTTTTATCAGCCCATACATTTATTTTGTTTGTATTCATTTATGTCATTTATTGAAGAGTGTTATAACAAAAGCGCGCTTCGTTTTAAAATTAACTTATCTGAGATGGAGTAACAATAATCTTATCAATTATTTCTCATACCTCCTGTAAAAGTATATATATAATTAATGTTAGATTTTATATTTTGTCTGTAGGTATAATTGAAAGTGATGATATACAAGATATAAATACTGAAATAGATAAAGCTTTAAATTTCTCCTCTAAATGTGCCATGTTGGTAGAATCAGTTAAACGGAAATATAAAGATAGATTTGTAAGTTATACCAGTACATATAAGATTGGAAGTTTATAAAGATCTATAGATATTGTGATGCCCAGTTTTCATATTAAATTTATTAACTTGATTGACCACCAATTCTATAGGTGTTGTAGTAGAATTTGACAAATTTTAAGAAAAATATTATAATGTCATTCAAAATGTAGCAGTAGTAAATTTAATTGGCCATTATTGTTTTTAAATAGAAAATGTATAAATATTGCAATGTAGGGCTTTATCTTATTTTTAGTCTCACCCTCAAATGGAAGAAATAAAAGCCTTGCCCCAACCACCATCGTTTAAAATGAGGGCACTACCCCCCTCTCCCTATAAACCTAGGATAGAAGATAGTTATAAAGTTGTAACTGTTAGACCTACCAGTGCCACCAGAGATAAGAATAATAGACGTATCAGTCCAAAACGTGAGTATATCTTTTCTTGTCAATATGAATGTTCCTTGTTGATAGACTTCATTCATTTTATTGGTTTTAGTAATTCACCAATCAGATGACTGGAACACTAGAATTATCTATAGATAAGTTTTTAAGAATAAGACCCCTGATCAATGATTATTATATTTTCCAGCACCAGGACGAGACAGACCATTATCAGCTAAAGATCCTATGCAGAGAGTTCGTTCTAGCAGTGGTCATAGAAGAACAGCCTCCTCCTCGCATTTCTTTATAGATGATAAAAAAAATAATATAGGTTTGTATTGAGTATAATTGTTAATTTCTTTGGTAATAATTCTGCCAGTATAATGACTTTTAAAACGTATTCTGTGATCCAGTACCATCAAAAGTTGTAATAATTTATGCTAAACATGCGTATTTGCATTTACATCTTATGTTATGAGGATGACCATTCATATATTCATAAGTTATTTCAAATGTGTTCTGCAGAAAAACATTTCCAAATGCTGTGGAGGATGTTCATATGAAAAAAATATCTAAAACAGATTTGATCTACCAGTTATGCTGGATTGGATGCAGGTTAGGGCAATGGTTCAATTAAATTGTTTGTGTTGTAATGTAAGGTCTTCAGAAACTGAATTGAAATGTTTTGAACTTCAGGAACTGTAATTGATAAAATTCCCAGTCAGAAATCAATCCGTAAAGCATTTGTTAGACCTATTATACCAGAATTAGACGACAATGTTTCAACAAAACAGGTAATTTTTGAAGATCTGATATCTGTTGTTGCCTCTATTTATACTTGCTCTTTAGTTATTTATACACCTACTTCCCATTGAAAGGATTTTGAAGAGGCTTCTTAACTTTATATGTAGCCTATATTGGGGACACTTGGTGGTGGAATTGCAAGAACCACAGACGTCTGACTGAAATTGGAATTGTGAAAATGCATCATATAAAGAGTTTAGAAAACCTCTTTATAACCCCTTTAGAATACAAATCCAAAATGTTATGGGTATTTAACATTGTAATATTATATGGAGCAAATTAATTATCATACGTTTCTGATTTTATTATATAGTCTATCAATATGTTTTTTTTTTTGTGTATGACAAATTTTTAACAGCTATATTTTATTTACAGTGGATGAGACTCTACAGTCTAGGGAAGTTAAAACTAGATTTAAACAGATTTGTATCAGGACCCGATTGTAAACATGTAGAGAAAAGTGTAAAAACTTTAAACAAACCAGTTTCAGCCAAGTAAGTATTCATGGCTTGTAACCTTAAAACTTATCTTTAAAATAATGCTGAATGCTATGACACAATCATATTGATTGACAATTACAGAAAAAACTCTGTGGACCCTCTAAATAGGATGTCAAATAGTATTGCTTTGCTAAGAATTTGTGAAACAGCAGCCTAGCTAGAATAGATTTATGTAAATTCTAATGTTTTTGGCTGAATTTGATTCAAAACCTTGTTTTGTGAACTGAAATCTTTGGTTTTCAAATGAAACTCTAATGGAACTTCTCTTTGGACTAGTCCACTACTTTACAACTTAAACGCGCGTTTTTGTCATACGTTGGAAAAGGTTGTCTGTTAACATTGTCTGTTCTTCTGTGGTTTCAGATATTGCCATATTTTCCCGTCAGTAAATATCCGAGGAACTATTAAACATCTACAGCTATTACCCCATGAAATGGAGGATTATGAGACTAATATAGAGAAAGTTTTATGTCGTTATTTAAAACGATTACAATGGCTTCTCAGTGGTAAGATATTTTGAATTACTTTGCTGGAGGTTTCTTGTTTTCCTGTTATTCTGTATTCTAAATGTTTCTCGTTTTTTATTGTATACACAGTATTAACTGTTATAATCGTAGAAAGATAATTAGGCACATCAAAAATAAAAACACAAGCAGTCTACCTTACATTTAGTGTATGTAGTAATGGACAGAATAATAACAACTTGTTATGTTTCAGTTTCTATAAATTATAATTTTTTCAAATGAATCGCATATGTTAATTTTTTGAATATGTGCAAAATTATCCTTTATCTCTACATATGATCTTGGTTCAGTCATTACTTGTTTCTGAACTGTAACCTTTCACCAATCTAGTAAAGTGCATTGAGACTGATACATTTGAATTTTTGTTTCTTTGCAGGCAGTAGAAGAGTATTTGGTACTATTGTACATAAAAGATGCGTATTTTTGGTTGATACATCTGGTTCTATGATGTCTAGAATGGAGGAGTTAAAAAAAGAAATGGCTGCCTTAGTGTGGGAACAACTCAATAAACATAACATACAGTAAGTTTGATTCAGTTAATTCTTATTTGAGCCATGCATAAGATTTAAAAAATAGTGTTGTCTTTTACTATGTCTTGAATGAAACAACACAATTCCTGCCTATGTATCTTCTTGGTTAAATTCCTTCTTTTTATTTCTAGATTTAACTTGATAAGTTTTTCTGGTAATTGTGAAACATGGAGAGATTGTATACAGGTAGCTAATGAAGAGAATTGTCATGATGCTGTAGAATGGGCTTCAGTATTAACAGCTGAGGGCAATACATGTACATTAGAGGCCTTACAGGTATTGATATATTAGTGTTTCCATTATCTTATAACTTTAACCTGGTAAGAGAGCTGGGAGGGAGCAGTGGCTCAATGAGTTGAATGCTCAATTGCTAAATTTTGTTTTCAGTATTTTGATACGTGTATGGCTTTGAAGTATGTTTCCATGGAATCCATGTTTCAGCATTCTAGCTCTACATTTTGAATTTTCTATAATTTTTAACTCATACCAAATCCCTTTAAATCTATTTTAACTATATGTTATAGCTGGCATTTGATGATCCTGATATAGAAGCTATCTATATGTTGACTGATGGTAAACCAGATACCAGTACGTCTCTAGTACTACGTGAAGTTATGGCTATGAATGAAGAAAGAAATATACCAGTCAATACTATTTCTTTTAACTGTTCTGATAGGTAAGATTTTTGAACATTTCCTTGTTCTGCTTTAGTATTTTTCAAACAGGCTCCCTTATGTTTAAAATTTAATGCTGAACATTTTTAGATCAATAGCAATTGGAAACGAACCAAACATTATTTATAATGTTAAACATTAATGAAAAATTAAATGTTTTAAGAAGCTTAGCACTCTTATAAGAGTAATATTTTTCTGAACATTTCAGATATTACAATACTAATTGCAGATAAATCTCTTTTTCTTGCAGCACTGCCAACAGTTTTCTCCAGTTACTTGCCAATGAGACTGGAGGAAGGTATCACAGATGTCCTCCAAATTTCGATGCCCAACTTTTTGCGCACAAACTTTTATCAGAAGGCTTGGGTGACACTGAGGTAAGGAAACTCCAAACTCACTGGTAGTCACAGTCACAAGGGGTCTAGGGTTTATCCTTTATTTTGCAACTGTGAAAATGCTTTTTTTATCAATAATTTACTAAAAAACATTCCTGCATTGAGAACTCCCTCAAATGGATTGATTGAAGTGTATGATTTATTGAAATGATCATCATTTTTGCCATGAAATTTAATTCAATAATTGATCAAGAACTAATATTTTCTTTGTAGTATCCTCATCTACCCCAGTTTGAAGGAGATGATCTTCAACGTCTTGGTGCTGAAATATCTTTAGCCAGAAAATACCTGGCTCAATCACGCTCTTTCAGGTAAGTAGCTTGTCTTAAATTTTACCCAGTTCTTTTTGAATATATAGCAAATCTTTCATTCTCATGACAAAAGAGCATATTGCACTATCCATGGAGGGGCAGTAAATAAGTTTTAAAGGAGGCTGAGAGAATCTGAAAAACTTCATGGTTCAAACACCTTCATTTTAACAAATCCAGATTGCATTTTTCTTCCTCAACATAATTGACTACCCTTATCAGTGAGTAAAATGACTGGTATTTAGTATATTTGATAAGAGTGTTAACTATTACCAATGTTTTTCAGGGCATTATATAAAGCACATAATAAAGATAAAGTTAATACCAATAATGGAACAATGAATAGTTCAAGAGGTAAGATCTTCATATTATGACATTTATTCATTTACAAAAAAAATCGTAAAATCTTATTCTTATTACATTGTTTATTCACAAATAAAATCATATAGTGCTATCAGATGTTTATTAAGATCTGAGTATATAGTGTCTCAGCATGTTCGATATCCATGGAATCAACCCGTACACACCTATCGAGCGAAACATAAGGTACACAGTTGAGGATCCTTTCTACCAGCTCGTCCTTGGCTAAACCTCTTTGCATTGATCTTTCCCTTTCCCGGCTTATCCGTACCCGTTTACAGTTGGTTTGACTGGAATTATGAGTGAAGATGACTTTTCAAGGTCATCAGACTACCACATGCCGACTGAGAATTGAACCCACAACTGCAATTCGCTCTACGTAACTAAGCAAATGACATCATGTAAACGCTCTAACCGACTGTACTATAGAACCTCATAAATTGAATGATGTGTAGTTGATAGCCTATATAGATAACTGGTAGTAGAACAAGTGTAATACTAATAATATATTATTTTATTCAAGGTACACCATTATTATCTAACAGACCTAAAAGTGCCATACGCTGAAGAAGATAAACTGATTCTGGTTTTAGTTTAGTCAAAAACATTTTATTAGAAATATAGTTAGAATTAAACTACGTTCTATATCTGTTTAATGAAAGAAAATATGGCTGTGCACAAATAAAATGTCATTTGATCAATGATAATTGAAATTTAATGATTGCTTATTATTTTCAAGGATAGTCCAATTTTCAAAGAAATCACAGTCAATCTTGATATAAACTTTTGATCTCATTGTCTGAACCGTCCATCAAACAATAGAGAAACGAAAATTACTCTTTCTCTGTGCCTTTTTTGGTATTTAGAAATTTATAATTCATCTGTGATATTTTATTATTGTATGTATCATGTTGTAGTTTATATTAATATTTGTTAATGTCTGTCTTGTAAAAATTGATATAAATGTAATTATAGAAAAGAACTTAAAAAATCATTTACCCGATGCGATTTTTAGACACAGTTCTGTTTTGATATTTCTGTATCGCTCTACAATAAATGTATTGAGCTTTATTTTAACTGGCATATTAATACTGAATATTCTAAGCAAGACTTAAAAAAATTGAAGACAGATGGTAGAGTAGCATTTGAGTCCATTTTTACTGACATTTCCCAAGCTTACTGAAAACTACACTTTGTAACATAAAAGTTAAAGTGAGAGGTAACCAATAATGCAGTATTGTAGACTGGAAAGCAGAATCTACATTAACATTGGTCACAACTCTAAGATGACTTATTTACAGAAAGATAATAATATATGCTCTGTAAAACTTCCCTCTTTTATTTTTTGTAATATTGACCTAATGTCCTCAGCATCATGTAAAGGAATAGGATACTTATTTATAGATGCTACATGTTTATATGGTATATAATGTATTTATACAAAAAAAAGGAATCAAGTGGATTTGTTAATTGTTAAATCCTCACAATTAAATTTTCATTAAATTAGAAAATTATTTGAATTTATTTTAATCTGCTTAGAAAGGCTGATATGGTTGTTTGGAAAAGGACCATTGATTATTACACTGGGTAAAATTCTGTTAAGCAAAATATCCTTCTGAATACACAGCTTTTGCCTGTTCAATCTGTACCCAGGAAACAAACAAGTGGTTTGACTGAGAATGACTATTTGCATAAGTTTAGCTATATAGGTTTGATTTCTTATCTAGTTGATTTACTCAGCCTTGCAGGTATCAAACTGACAGAATAGGCAGAAAGAGCAAAACAATTTACTCCAACATGTGAAAAAGTACCAAGTTATCCTATATTCAATGGCTCGAACACTGCAAATTGTACAAATTTTGTAAGTAAAATATCCTATCCTTTCAAATGATTTGTTATCTTTGTCATTCTGAAGGCAAGACAATCTTCAAACTTCCCAACTGTTGAAAGGATAGGGATTTGACCCTGAGAAAAAGCATATAATTATTATCGGGGTTAAAAAATAAATTTGTGAACCAATCTGTTGACGTGTGGATAAACAAAGGATGACCAAGGTAATTGTGTCACAAACAAATATAAAAATAAGTTACACCATGGCTTATATATAAACTAGTTTAATAGAATACAGTACAATTTCATTGGTTGAATAAAATGCCGATAGAATTGATACAAATACTCTGTACAATGGCTGCACAGTTGAACGAGTGAATTCATGAACAATGGAAAATTGAATGGTTAGATCAGTTGCAAGATCAAATGACCAAATCTAATACCAACAAATATGTCCAGTACTAATGTGTTGACTACATATGAATTAATGGTCAAAATTGCTTACGGCATGAAATGATTTCTTATATAAATGAAATGAAATGAATGGACTTTTACGTCCTACTTTTCTGGATTTCTTATATAAAGATGACAAGACTGCATTAAATACACAATGAAAATACACACACTAACAAACAAATCAACAACTGATTCTAAAATAAAATAATTTATGATGATATAAATAATAATAAATGGAAGGATTGTAAGACCAGCAGCAGCGCCCATTCAAAAACAGCACGAGTTGACATAGATATTTTCTGAAGACAAACAGGCATTTCCTTGATTTTGACATTTCTTCTGTAAACAAGCATGTTTGTTAACTCATTCAAATATTTGAAGAAAGCAATATCTAGATAAAGGTTCACGCATCCATCAAGAAGGTACAAAATTATGGAGGTTAAATTCTGTAACTGTCTGTCTATTGAACCTGTATATCTTGTAGTAACATCTCACAATATTTAACAGATCGATGTTTATGTTTCACTGATTCTATTTCTTGTTTTAACATACCAGGATGTATCTGACCAGCTCGCTTTAATACAACTAAAATTAAACAACAACTTATGAAGAACCAAATGTATCAATCAATGTTTCACATGCTCATTAAATAACTTTCAGAAGCAGAAGCTGCCTTAAGAGTTAAATATTTGTGGGCCAGCAAGGATCATTTTCTAAAACATTCCTGCAGCATATCATTTTTGTATGTTGATTAATTAAATTTTATTTTACCCTAAAAATGAAAATATTCAATTTCAACAATAAAAACAACTAAGTGTTTTGACCAGTTGTTTTGGGGTACTGGTGTGTCTACCTTAGTTATTATATTGTTAATGCACACAGAATAGTTTACTTACCTAATAAAGCGTCCTGTATTTTGGGTTCAGGATCATCTAAATGAACTAACAACCCTCGAAATAGATCTTCTAAATGTGCTTTGTATAATTCTGGATCGTATCCCTTATCGAAACAATCAAAATAGGCTAGAAACGTTTTGGACACCATGATTCTAATTTCATCACTACTGTCATCTAAACGTTTTAATAATTCAGGATATATATTATGTAATCTGTCTTGATTTAGACTGCCTCCCATTAAACCAAATATTCTGGTCATCACTCGACAAGCTATTAGTCTAGTACTCTTATTGTCATCTTCCATAGTAGTTATCATCTGAGTTAATAAACCTTCCACTATTGGTTCCATCTGAAATATATCAGAAAAGGGATGAAATAGAATTTCACAAATTGGCAAAAATAGAATGAAAAGTACATCTACTTTTAAATTAGAAAGAACATTTACTAAGATAGCAAAGATCCTATTTATAGCATATTATTTGATCTTATAACACTGAACCATCACTGTAAAGATCTAGCAGTACAGAAGCCTTGTCCATCAATGTTGTGAACAAATTTTTAGGAACTAGATTAGCCTGATTTTTGATTGACAAACTATTTCACAAACTATATTACTTAATTTTTGAATGATTTTTTATCACTATTCAACATACCTTTTCTTTAGTAAGAACTTTACTTTGTAATAACGCCCATAAACAAGATACGGCTGTAGTTCTTATAGCACCAGCTGTTCTACCAGCTCTCCATGTACAATTGGGCATTATCATATCTTTAACCACTGTTACCGCATGTTCACTGAACTTATCTCTAGAATCTAGAGTACTACCTGAGTTTAATACTAATTTAGATAGCAAGGTGAAGAATTTGAGTCTCATTTCAGGATCTTTATCTGGTTTAAGATTGGTGACTAATATTGGTATTATGATTGGTAATAAATCACCCATTACATCTCCTAAAATATATAGATATTATATATAACTTATCATGAACAGACAGGGATCCTGAGCTGACATAATCAGTCATCAACAAATATTAACAGACTTTCTAAGGGTGAGAATTCTCTGCTTTACTAAACAGCTCCTAGAGTTTATAGTATTAGAGCTCAAATATCATTTACTACTTGAATTAAAATAATATTTTTTAAGTGAATACAAGAACAGTAACTTTCAGTCAAAATAAAAAGAAATTCAAATGCAATCAACACAGTGCTTCTCTAAAAATCCAAAATGCATCAGTTAGTAAAAGAAACAATGTCACTAAGCCAAAGTTTGTTGTAAATTGTAGGTTGATTGATTGGAATCAGCACTGGAATATAAATCATATCTATAAATACATACCTGACTCTAGTAATAAAGTATCAAATATTTGTCTCTCTACAGTATGATTAGTCCATGTATAGTAATTATCATTATATTGTTGTATAACTTCTACTGTATATTTATTATATAGGTCTTGTTTACTACTCATACCATGTGATATAGCTATAGTTTCTAATGATGACTGTGCCTAAAAATTAAAATGAGATGACCTGTTTATTCTTCTGGAGGTTTTCATCTCAGAATGGTCATATATTTTCCTTAACTACGGAGACCAAATAAGTGATATATTAAAAAGATATCACATCTTATGTTTTTGATTTTTAAACATCCTTTATATTTGCATTTGCATTATTTATAACTTAACTAAGGCACTGCCAATCACTCTATATAATATAGTTAACCTACCGATTGTTTTATTTGTTCATCCTGAGACAATGATAATACAGTTAAACATAGAGTAAATAAAGGTAACCCAATCTCTACTATATCTCCCTTCATTACAGTACATATAGAACTAACACAGGATAGTAACTGTACGTGTACAGATGCCTGAAATATATAATAAATAATAACACATACAGTTGTAACCGTCTTTATTAAATAGTTACAAAAAGCAAGAAAATACTCATCAAATTCACTAATAAATGCAGTTGCTAAAGGTCATCATCTTTGTTCCACTTCAAAACCAAAGAAAATATGTAATTAATAAGGCTGAATAAAAAAAATATGAGATTTTGACATTTTCTACACCTACCTGAACAGAGTGACAAACATCTGACAAAGTTAAAGTTTCACAAATTGAAGGTAAAAAGGGTTTCAATGATTGACGTTCAGAGCCTTTAATTACAGCAGCTGTCACCATTAAACTACCATAGGACTGAGAGGATTTCAAATTGTTCAATACTATTTTACACCATACTTCTGGTGACACAAAATATCCAATCAATTCACATGCTCTTTGAACCTAAAAAAAAAAGAAGTCAAGATAATGAATGGAACTATATCAAAATCCAAGCATTCAAGACTTAACCTGGATTGTTCAAAAAGGTAATTTTCTTCTGAGATCTTTTGTTTTGTCCTAATGTAAGAAATATTTCTGATAAACAATATTCTATATCACTATAATGACTGGATTTCATGCTAATATCAATATACAAGTTCTAATAAGGTTGTATTAACACCTACATCATGGACAACTTTAGGTTCTTCATCCATACAAGCTCTATATGATCCTGACAAAACTATTTCCATATGTTGTGTTATATATTCTTCAGCGTTTAACAGTAAAACATACAATAGTGCTGCAGACTTGATTCTAGTTTCTAAAACCCAGTCTGTTATATCCTTCATTAAACCAGGTAATATCTTCGACAAATGTCTCATAATTAATGTTCTACAGCCTAAATTTGGTCTTTCAACTGAAAAAAAAGAATATAATCAGTAAGTGACAAGAAAGTAAAATTTCCTTTGCAACAGGACTGATTAAAGATATGTACATGTTCTTTAACAGATTACAGAGTTATCAAGTTAGGAGACTATCATTCAGCACATCGATTATTTGCTCAGTTACAAATAGAATCTGACATAAATTGTTATAATCAAAATTTTTCAAATTTTTCAAGCATGTTATTGATCTCATCTGAATGCTCAGTGCACTAAAGAGAGAGTTTTGTGATAAATAGGAATAATCAGATCAGTTATCAAACAATCATCATGAAATTTCTAACTTTTAAGCAATTTAAAAATTGTCAAAAGTAGCCACAAATTTAAACAGATAGATAAGGTGAAAATGATCTGAAGAAGAAAACTAGTTTATTTACCATTAGGTGGATAATGTTTAGGATCTTCTTTAGCAAAATCTTGTTTATCTTTCAAATCATCTTCATTTTCTCTCTCATATTTTATACCTGAAATTCAAATCATTCAAAATTATCATCCTGTGACTAAAAGGGTTTTTAGCAATCCCTGTCAAAAACTATCTTAAAATAAAACAAAATCAAATAACTTAACACAAAAATCATCTGAGCTCTAATAATAATAAAATTAACTTCCTCTGGGGCAAAGAGGCAAATGCTGGTAAACAAAAAAACACCCTGACTTACCAACATCATGCCAATATGAATCAGCTAATTCAGCTATCTCTGGTTGTTCATCAGTTATACCAGTCAATAAAAGTGGGACTAATCTATGGAAGAATGAATATCTATCAGGTAGATTCAATAACCATGTTCCAATAACTTTAATAACAGACTTTCTCACTGCTGGTGCCTGGTCAAATAATCTCTGGGCTAAATGTGATATGACAGGTTCTACTGTTTTACCATTTCCATATTGTACTACATCACCTACAAAATGAAAAAAAAATTCATACGTTTACATCAAAAGAAGTAAACTAGCTACAATTACTACAATTTTTTTTAGAAGATTGGATATAAGTACCAAATAGACTACAGCTCATCTCAGGCTTCTGACACAAATTAACAAACTTCATCAGGATAGTTTTATTGAAAATGGAATTTAAATTTCCACTTAACATTAATAATCATTTTCACACTCTTCCTAATCTACACAATTCCCTTACAGAAGATATCAATGTCATAGTTCATATTTCTATTATTGCCCCATTATCCAGTTTCAAATATATGAAAGTATGCCAGTACAATAATATTAAAAGGAAAACTTACCTATAGATTCAACAACTATGGTTCGAACTTTAGAATGTTGATGTGCAATGGCAATTAATAACGGTTTGATTAAGGCTTCTGACAACATATGAAAATGTTCAGGAATTGATCTTGCTAAGAATGCTGCACATTTACAACTCTCTTTTTTAACTTCTGGATAGGGATCGATAACAGTTCTTTGTAAAATAGTGACACAATCATCTAAATAGACTGCCATTTTCTTTCCAGAACATTCCACCATTTGTTTCAATAATTCTATAAGCAAAAGTCTCTGTTCTTCTGATGGCTCGATGATATCCTGCTGCCCAAGTCTAGCTACCAGTACCGGGATAATGTAATAGAGATGGTCTTCAGGTTCTGGTACAGACTTTAGGAATGATGAGATCAAATTTACAGACAATTCTCGACATTTTTCGACTGGATCGGAGAAAATTTTTAAAACAGGTGGTAAAACTTCTCTGAATATTACTTTTAGATCTGTTGCTTCAAGAGGAGTGTCACGTTTCAAAGTTTCCTTATGAATACGTTCTAATGCCTTCTTTCTGGTATTTCGATTCTCTTCTCCTAAACAATTGATATGACGAGCAATTCCTTGTAAAACGGTGTTGGAATTTTCATCTTTAGCAGCCATGATGTTGATCGCAACGCCTCGTTTTGGACAAACGTGGCTATTTTCACCTCCAATCAAAAATAACTGAAGAGTATATTAAATGTGAGTTGTTTCCCTTAAACCGTATATTGAAATTATTTTGAGAATATTCACAGTTTTACACAATTCACTTGAAAAAAGAAATACTTTAGCCTATTCGGATCTTGAGAAAATGTATCTTATTGCGACCTTTCAATGCCACGTTCAAATGTCAATAAAGAGTTCAAACCAAACCCACTGCCTTTTTCAAATTTGACTACTCGTTCAAATTTGTTATTTTCCATGGCAACTGCAAACAAAGACACAAGATGTGTTATGGCTTGCAGATTAAAATTCATTATTAGTCCAATTCAGTAGAGAAATTAAGGTATATCGAGATTAGGTAATTAATTCGTCACTTATATCGGTAATTAAATCTTAATCTACCACAATCAAGATCTGTAGTCGCTCTCAGGTCTTGATTCTAACTCATAGGCTTCAGATCTATTACTTACATGTCAACATTCAAGTTGCAAATGGTTAAATAGTTTTCTTTATTTTCTCGTAAACTTTCACTTTAAACAAGTTTTTTCGCAGAATTGGTAGAACCCATTAAAGACAATTCCCAATAGACTCACTTGCACAGACGCAAAAACACGTAGGGCTATAAATTTGAATGGATACTAATCCTGAGACGGACTCCCTCCCCCACCCTTTTTTCATTGCATCCCACCCATACAATACAAGATAAAGTTGCACCAGTTGCTCTCAACCCAGAGCAGTGGTCCTGCAGTATAAGGTCAAATTTCGACTCCAATTAATTCTACCTCACCCGTCACTCCGTCAGTGAGTTCGTCACTCCGTCAATGAGTTCGCCACTCAAGTCAGTGATTCCGTCATAACGTCAGTCGTCAATGCTACCGAACAAAAAATGTAATATTAATGAATTATAATCACAAAACGAAATCAAAACGAAATAAAATAAAACGAAAGAATATGCCAGTCCGTCAGTGGCGAACTCATTGACGTAATGACGTATGAAGTAGTCCAGGGCTAATATACAGCTAATTCATCCATCACTGCGTTATTGGCTCAATCCGTCATTGACGTCAGTCCGCCAATCATCCCAGTGACGGGTTGACGTAGTTACGTATAACATAATCCAGGGCTTATACTCACCTTATTCATCCGTCAATGATTCCGTCACACCGTCATTGGCGTCAGTCCGCCAATCATCCAAGTGACGGAGTGGCGAACTCATTGTCGGAATGGCGAACTCATTGACGGAGTGGCGAACTCATTGACGGAGTGACGAACTCACTGACGGAGTGACGTATGAGGTAGCCCTAGACAGGGGAAAACATTTCATCCGTCATTCGTCGATGCTACCTTACAAAATTACAGGGCTCTATGTAGGGCGCTCAAAAAATTGCCCCAACCTTTCATTGGAGCCAGTCCGTTAATACAGCGCTTCTTCATGCGTCGCTCCGGCATTGGTCTCAATGGATCCATCATTCCCGTCAGTCCGTCATTGGCTTTATCCGTCATTGGCGTCAGTCCGTCAATCATCCAAGTGACGGAGTAACGAACTCACTGGCGGAGTGACGAACTCACTGACGTACTGACGTATGAGGTAGCCCTTATGCATACACGCCTTATTCATCCGTCACTCCGTCAATGAATCGGTAGCTCCGTCATTCATCCAAGTGACGTAGTGGCGAACTCATTGACAGAGTGGCGAACTCATTGACGGAGTGACGAACTCATTGACGGAGTGGCGAACTCATTGACGGAGTTACGAACTCATTGACGGAGTGGCGAACTCATTGACGGAGTGACGAACTCACTGACGGAGTGACGTATGAGGTAGCCCTCATGCATACACGCCTTATTCATCCGTCACTCCGTCAATGAATCGGTAGCTCCGTCATTCACTGCCATTGGCTTAATCCGTCATTGACGTCAGTCCGTCAATCACCCAAGTGACGTAGTGGCGAACTCATTGACGGAGTAGCGAACTCATTGACGGAGTGGCGAACTCATTGACGGAGTGGCGAACTCATTGACGGAGTGACGAACTCATTGACGGAGTGGCGAACTCATTGACGGAGTGACGAACTCACTGACGGAGTGGCGAACTCACTGACGTACTGACGTATGAGGAAGCCCTAGATAGGGGAAAACATTTCATCCGTCATTCGTCGATGCTACCTTACAGAATACGAAACACCAATAATTACAAAAGAAAACAAAAAAAAAATCATTGATTAAGTCAGTATATTTCAGCCATTTCGCTAAACTAAAGGAATGTATCAGAGCAGCACTGATGTCCGTCAGTAAGTCGATGGTTTCCTCAAGCCCGTTGCTAGTACCGAAAGTTCCGAAATCCTGTATTGTTTCGCTTTGTTATTTACGTAGAGCCCCGTAATTTTGTAAGGTAGCATCGACGAATGACGGATGAAATGTTTTCCCTTGTCTAGGGCTTCCTCATACGTCAGTACGTCAGTGAGTTCGCCACAACGTCAATGAGTTCGCCACTACGTCAGTGAGTTCGTCACTCCGTCATACGGAGTGACGGGCCGTTTGATGGGGTGGCGGAATCCTTAGCAGAGACATGGAAGAGGTATTCATGGACTGGCTCCAATGACAGATATCAATAAAGTCCAGGGGCTTTCAATTCAACCTAAAGGAATGCTAAAACTGAATGCCAATAAATTAGGTATTCAGCCCTGGATTGCTTCATACTGAACAACATATATGAGTTCACCACTCCATCAATGGGTTCGCCACTAAGTCATTGAGTTCGCCACTCCGTCAATGAGTTCACCACTACGTCAGTGAATTGTCCACTCCGTCAATGAGTTCGCCACTATGCCAATAAATTCGCCACTATGTCACTGCAATGATTGACGGACTAACGACAGATTGAAAAAAAAAAAGAAAATGTTCAAGGAATCTAGGAAAGCGGTGAAAAAATCTATCGCGATTTTGGTATAGTGAAAGTATAATAAAAAAAATTTTATGGCACTATTAGAAGACAAAACAGTTTTCTTATTATTTGTTTTATTAAAAATAAAAGAATACCAGAATTCGACATAAAATATTACACGTTTTTGAAAAAATATATATTTTCACAGTTATCATAATCATGGCAAACGAGTGATGGCTATAGGCTACATTTACAAAACAGCAGCTTTAATCTCATTTATTCTTCTGTTTTTAAAAAAATAATATAATATCTCCATTGATCACAGCACATTTCAATATGGCTTGTTACTTACAAATGCATAATGTAAATATTGTCTAACGCATTCAGAAGCAACAATTCAAGTGTTGGAGTTTAACGTCTTTTTTCATTAAAAATGCAATATAATTATGACTACAAATTTTTTCACATCATTTGTTCCATATTAAAGAGATTGTCCAAAGTTTTTTTTTTAACTTTACATATGTATTGGGAACACTGAAAGGATCAATTTTCACCATTCCAATCTTCAATAGGACGTCTGAGGTCCATTTAATTCCTTTTAAACCATCGCAAACACTGAAAATAATATATAAGAAACTCCCCCCCCCCCTTTCGTTTTAATGGAATTGCAAGAAACGCAGATCTGAAAATTAGAATGGTGCAAATCAGTGTCCCTGATAATCATAAAAAGTTTACAAAATTTTAATAATAACCAGATGTAAATAATTACGGTAACTAAATTATAACCAAATTGATGTCAAAACAATAATCGGTGGAAGAGATAACTGTGTTCCCAGGAAAACTTTGACGCTGTTTTTGCCAAACAAAGATCAATAACTAAAAAAAACGTTAATTGAACATAAATTGAAGATCGAAGTTATTTCCAATATAGCATTCCAAATTTCGACAAAAGCAGAAGAAATTTTTTTCTATAGTGATCACCAATCCATTTCGAAGAAAAATTGCGAAAAGTTCTCAACAATATACATAACAAAACATGCCAAAGTCCATCAAGATCAGACTACAACTGCAGTCTCGTTCGTATTCACATGCCAAATTCGTTTATTTTGGATAGATCCAAATCAATTAACTCAAAAATCGTTCATAAAAAAATCATATTAAACGATGTACACAAAATTATACATAAACATACCAAGAATTGTTAAAATTCTGGCCTTTTTGTATAGCCTACATACAAGATATTTCACTCGCACGACCCATAAGCAAATTGAGATCGATATCCTGCAAGAATGTTGATATAGGTTCATACAATAATAGAAACGAGTTACGATGCTTTAAAAACACGAAAAATCGAAGTCATTAGCTTGTATCTTATTTTCGTTTACTGATGGAAATTAGATATTCCCCAATTTGTACGAAATTTTTTTTTTTAGTTTTTGACATGTTCTATAGACGATTTGATTTAAATACTCCGTCAAATGTCGTTTTTCGTTTAAGAACTTATTAAAAACAAAAGTTATAAAATTGTAAGGTAGCATCGACGTATTGATGGACTCCAGTGACGGAGTGGCGAACTCACTGACGTAGTGACGAACTCATTGACGGAGTGGCGAACTCATTGACGGAGTGACGAACTCACTGACGTACTGACGTATGAGGTAGCCCTGACTCCAAATTTCTCTCTATTTGTACCCCCACTTCCAGGAGACTAGTGCAGCCAGTCTCTCAGGAAAAAAGTATAACTCTAGATGCTCCAGAATAAGTCACTTAAAATTTATCACATATTCAAATTGCAAATGCAGGGATACGAATCTTCCATTGGGCATAGACCTATACGAAGTAAATAATTAACATGATATAATAAGACAAACGGTTGCAACTTTAAATTTATTCGTAAAAGATTATTGTCCAAGAATTCCAACGTGTGTAGAGGAAGGTCCCTGAAATGTAAAAATGAATCAGATTAATTGCATGGAATATTTACCTAGATTCGCACTGTGTAATCAGGGAAATTCTGCCTGCACAGTGGCAAAAGCCTTCATTTCGATAACTTATGTTTCAACTATCTAGCCTCTATGGCGAACACTAATACATAATAATAAAATTTAAACCCCACCCTTTCCAAGTTTCGAAATTGAAACAGAACCCTTCCCAAGTTTCGAAAAGAAATAATGACGGTTATAAGTTTGGTGCACGAACCTTGACAAACATAGCATTATCACAAATACTTGGTACATTAAATACAGTTGGATCTTTTACTCCTGGGGTAATATCATAGAAATTCTGACTGACAAAATACTGGACTGAAATCACAACACAGGAAAAACAATTATAATATATATAAATTAATAGAATTTTAGTTATAAGATTGAATGAAGTAGACAGAAAATTCTCTAAGTTAAGATCGAATGAAATAAATTACCTCCGTTTGTGCTTCCATATATAATTTGACTGACGGGAACACAACCAGGATTGGTCATGGAGAAATGAGCAGTTACATTAGCAGCCTGGTAAGAATAAGAGTTGAACATCACTTTGTTATTTCCTGAACCTCCAAAATGGCTTCCCTCAAATTTAGCATTATCTGAAAATAAAACAATACCAAAATAAGAGCATATATTCATCAGTAGATATACCTTGTGTCATAATAACATAAACAGGATCCTTAAATAATCGGATAAATCCAAAAAACTTAATAAAAATGCATTTAACTAACTAATATTAAGATTAAGCGTTTTTCTATAATTACTTAGTTTTATGAATTTTTCAGTTTTCTAAATTTTACAGGGATTCTGTTGTAACTTTATGACACCAGGTAAGTTCACTGATGAATATATACTCATATTGACCATTCTTGAGAATTAAATTTTATGTTCATTCTAAGACGTAGTATCAGTTTAAATAAACAAATAGACTACTTAAATGCTGGACACGGTATTTGAGGCACTTCACTTACCTGGGACACATCGTGTCCGTGATGTGTGTGAGATAACTTTCTTAGAACAATGATTACCACTGATAATATATTCTGTACCCTGAATTAAGAAAGTACTCCACTCATTTATTTGCAATATTGAATGTTGAATGTTGAATGAGATCATAAAGATCTATGATTCTGTTCGAACCAACTTTCTAGGGCATTCACTTTTCACCTGTCAAGCCAGACTAAGCGCAGGGTCAATAGTACCGTATGGGCTCAGGTACGAGGAAAGGAGATCAAAGTTGAAATCAGTCTGAATAGTAGTTAATCTAAGATTAAAGAAATAGGTTAAATCATATCTATTGGATCAAATATCTGGGTCATTTTTAGAGTTTGGTGAATTATGTAAACACTAAGTGCATAAACACAGAAGAGGAATGGTGTCCTGATTTGTCAAATTTATGATTTTGTGAGTTGTGGTGCTTCTGACAAGAGCTTCCTTGTAATGATAGAATCAGCAAGTTTCTCTGAAGAATGTTACCTACCGCCTTAAAGTCCATGATAACCTTGACTTTTACAGTATAACCATTAGCAGTAACAGATTCATCAAAAGCGGCTACATTCTTGGTCAGATCATAGTGAATTGTGATCGTTTCCTGTAAAGAAAACCAAGACTAACTTGTAGAAAGCCCCACATACAGACTCTATGATGTGCATTCCTTGCAGTACGGTCCCCAATCGATAGGAATATGTTTAGTGAAGCAAAGTATACTTCCAACAAACTGTAAACCATTATGGTTGTTTATTCTGATAAATATACTATAAAAAGAAAATACTGGCTGTATAATATTCAGAAATAAAGCTCACCTCTGACATAGTTGGGATTCCATTTTTAATGGAACCTACACTTTGTTGTTGAATTCCTTCCCAGGTATCGGGAACACAACATTTCTCTGCCAAACTACTGGCAACTAGACACAATAAGATGACTTTCGCTATCATTTTGACCACCGTTCGAGAAGACTATCTCAAGAATGACATGTGTATTTTCTATCGATATATTTATAGTGTCAGCTTTATTGATATAACTGATAACAGCTATCACATTTTTTTGTTTTGGAAAGTTTGGAAATTACTACTTGGATTTCGCAAGAGATCCCAAGACTTGGGTGTCAGTACTATTTTTAGTTTAGTGTGAAAGTCTTAGGATTGACAAATGTTACAAATTACCTAGAATTAGTTCTAACATATTTGTCCATGCACGTTTTCTACGCCAAATGATAGTTACATTTACCCCAATAGACAAAGTTCACCTGTAGCTGTAAAAATGGAAAAGGTGTGTAGTCCGTTCGGATAGGAAAATGAATCGAGACCCCTTATCACAGTCTGGGACTCAATGGTATTGCAGACAAACAACTCACTTCATTTGCATTCTATCTTTTTATTGAAAATTTGCACAATGTCGAATAAAAACAATCTTTGTAGAAAACTTTAGTGAAATTCCATTAATGGTTCACAAGCGACTGGTTATCAATCAATTTAATATAAATTGTCATTGATATTCAATAATAATAATAAAATCTTTATTAAGGTGAATTTTTTTTACAATTTCGCCCTTCAAAGGAGCACAACATAAAATACAAAATAAGTTAAAACATATGTGAATTTAATAAGTTATGGAATAAGGAATATTCAATGATGTGGATAAGGTTTCATGGGAAGATGACAGAGGAGAAGGTTTCAGTACTGCTTTATTATTAAAAAGAATAAAAGCCAATTTTTGAAGTATATTAAGGGCTGCTAAAGAATATATTACAAGTATCCCAAATGGTGGAGCAGTAATCAATGTGGGACTGAAAATGAGCGAAATAGAATAATTTAAAAATGTTTGAAGGAAGGAGAGGTTTAATAGTGAAATAGTTTCTGATTTAAAATTTTACAAATATAATTAAATGTTTATTCCGATTAAAATTTTGATTTAAAATAACACCCAATAATTTAAATTCTGTGACATTTTGAATTTGAGAATTCAATAGTTGTAAAGAAAGATAATTTCCTGGAATTTTCAATTGATGATTTAAGCCAGTTAACATAGTTTTAGTTTTCGATTGATCTACAACTATAGATTGTCATCACAACATTTATTAGTTTCTGATTGAAGAACAGAGTTTAAAGAGCAAATATCTAAAGATGATGAATATATTGTACTATCATCAGCAAACAAATCACAGTTACACGTCAGAAATAGAAGACCATTTATATAAAGATTTAATAACAAAGGTCCTAAGATAGGTCCTTAAGGTACACCAGAAGTTATACATTGAAATGTCGATTGGTTTTGCGCAATGGAGTTACACTGCTTATGGAGATAAGATTCAAAGTCAAAGATTATTCGGAAACTTATAGAATTTCAATTTTTGTAAAAGAATATTATGATTTACCATGTCGAAAGCTTTACGAAAATCGAAAAATATTAATCCAGTAAGCATGCTATTATTGAGTGATATTTTCCATTATATTGGTAGAATTGATATGGGTCTGTAATTGCTTGCCAAACTTTTATTGCCTGATTTATAAAATGGCAATACTTTCGCCTGCTTCAAGATATCTAGAAAAATATTCTTATCAATACACAGGTTAATAAAAGTGAGAAAATAGCTCAAAGCACTGGCACCAACGTTCAGAAAATATGCATTGACACCATCAAGGCCAATAGCTTTTGATGTGTCTAAATGAGAAAGATATTTAAAGACATGAGTAAGATTCATAAAAGGTATATGACAAATAGCAGTTTTGGACGAAATACGACTATTGATAAAATCGTTTACATCAATAAGAGGTGTAGACTGTGGACTATTATTACCAACTGAATTATTTATCGCTTTCCAAATTTGTTAACTATTTTTTCTATCTGATAATAAAGTTTCTAAGTATTTTCTCTTACTAGACCTTACAGTTTTAACTGAATTTCTAACCTTTTTATTTGATTTTAATAATGATAAGAAACAAAAAAATCCTATTCAATTTCACTGAATTAATTATGATTTGATTATAATACTATACAAAATTCTATTCGAATGATTTTACATCTGTTTGGTTGTCTGTGTTTTCACTAGCTGATCGGTGTCTGGAATTCACATTCACACCGTTCCAGATATCTTCATTAGACGCATTCTGGAAAATAAATAATATGTCATCTCGTAAATCTATGGCGTTTCTAGAAATCAGCAGCTGGAGGGGCTGGGTAGGGGGATAAAGAATGGCAACCTAACTCTGGGGGAGGGAGGGACTATGCAATTCAACAATATTTCACTTACCGAATTTATCGCCAATGAGTCAAACGAATCTGAAACTAAATAAAACAATATGTTATAATAACGCTTCTGTTAAAAGCCCATATGTTTTTTTGGAAACTGCTAGACAGAGTTAAAAACCGTACAATGATAGGTTCTCTTGGAGCCTTCCAACTCGGTCCATAGTTCACCCTCTTTGCAATGATACTTGTCGGGTTATTCCTCCCATTACCCCTTTGTTCATCAATGTGTTAGGCCCAAGGTTGACATCAGATCCTACTTACGTCCGTTTCCGATTCCACTATCACGAAGATGACCTGTAAAAAGTGAGCATATCGAGTTAAACAATTTAAACAAGATATAAAGGAAAACATTAACTTTATCTTCAAAAGATGTTCGGCTTATCAGACATTTTGTATGTTGAATTCATCATTTTCTGGGCCGTAAATTTTCTTACAGGAGTTTTTCCTTATACTAATTAAAAATTAAATTACAATTTCGGTTTAAACATTATTTTTTGTCGGTCTGCAATGGAGAACGAAAAGAGATAGTAACGAAACGAAATTGTAATTGCAGTAATATCAGAAACGCCCCGATCCTTTATTGATCTAGAATAGATATTTCAATCATTGTCATCTTAATGACACCTTTTTCCCTCACCAAAATCAAACATGATTTTTCTATGAACTAGAATTAGGAAATATAAAACATAGATGAGGTATAAGATACCGGTACAATAATCCCACACCGTATAAAGCATTTTAAGTCTAGTTTATCTTAGAAAATCAGTTTAAATCAATTAGCATTTAGCAATTGTGTGTTCGATATATAGATATATACAGCTTTATAGAACAACAATCACTGGTTAAAGTTTTATGCAACGTTTCGACGGGTTTTCCCCATCGTCCTCAGACACATTATGTACCTGAAGACGACGAGGGCTACACGTCAAAACGTTCCATAAAACTTTAACCAGTGATTGTTGTTCCTTAAAGCTGTATCTATATCGTACTCACATCTACTTCATTATATGCCTGAGGACGACGGGGGAAACACGTCGAAACGTTGCATAAAACTTTTGTTTCATAAAGCTGTGTCTATATACAGTTTAAATTTGTTTTCAGTTAAAGGCCAAGGTTTGCCATTTTCGGGGGTTGATTTGGGTCTTGAATATTATGTAAATAGTCTTCAGAAATATTAAAACTGCACAAAAATAACATAATCCCATCAAATTTATATACTTAAACTTGAGATGTGAAAACTTTGACTGATTAGCATAGCTAAAAAAATCCTGAGACTCTGGAACGATTGGTCCAAAGAATGGCGGGTTTGTCACTTTAAAGAATGATTTGGAAAACTGATAAGACAGATTTTCATAAAACTGTGCTTGTGTTTACATGTACTTTTATGATATAGAATCAGCAAATTTTCGGGTAGCCCACATCAGAAATGGGTTTAACATACCTGAAGAACGATCTACACCATCCCATAGCTTTTTACAATTCATCAATATCTTGTCCATTTCTTTACAAATATCCTCCACCAGTTCGCTAATTATTGCCGGTGTTACAACCTCTTGGCCACTGGGAATAGATGCCTGATCTGGATAATACTTGGCCGTTACACGGAATACCCTGATGTTTTCCTTCAATTTACCACATAGCTCAAAGTTGTCCTTTAATAATTTCAGTAAAGCATCTTTGACCTCTTCAACCTTTTTACAGTCGCAATCAGATGATTGAGATTGAGCTGGAAAAAAACCCAATAAAATACTACAGGAATTTCTTCCAAAAAGGCAACTGCAGACCAACCTACCCTGATTGTAATCTGACCCTGCATACATGGGTGTTTTGTAAGCAATTTATAAGTTTAATAACGTGGTAACAACGTTCGTGATCTAATTCTGGCGCGCAGTTTCGTTTGGTAAATACCTGTCGTACTGGCTGGACCATTGTCTTTAGAACATAGTTTCTTATCTAGAAAATAAACAAAAATCAAATTTGGGTGTTTCTGAATATTATATACTGCTACACATATTTTTGCACCTCCTACTATACGGAAATTTATTCTTATTGACTCATGATACTGATATAACTACCAAAATAATGCTTATCAGAGTATCGACATATAGCCTAATAATCGTATATTAGTAATCGTGTATGGTGTCCGCCATTACACCTATACCCAACCTGTATATCATAATAAAATAATATATGTATGTAACCTAACAGTAAAGAAAAGTAATAATTCAGTTTAAGAGCTTACCACATCCATTTAATTCGTATAGTTGTAGATACTGATTTGCTACTTCTTCCAACACAGATTTATCTTTCTCAACAATGCTTTCTAACATTTCTGTTGAAAAGCTTATACTTTTTTTTTCCCATTCAACATGTTTCCTACATGTTTGACCTACGCTTTCTCGCTTTTGGTACTCTGTTTCTAATCGAGTATTGATAATATTGCACTCTTGTAATTCCTTTACCAGTCCTGCTTTTGTATAATCACCAATAGGGATGTTTTCCAATTCCGCCATTCCTTGCTTACAGAACGCTCACGACAAACGAATTGACAGCCAACATATAAAAGATAAAGCTGACTATCCAATAACATAATATCCGCTTTATTCTATTTATATTATGATATAATACAAGTTTGACTGTTTACCAAGAATTCTAAAAATAGCGATAAAGGGGTCGGTTTCAATATTCACTATTTTCGGAGTTAGTTTGTTATTTACTTAATTTATATGCTATGCATGTGCATCAGAAATAGTCTAATATATATATTTTTAAAAATTCACATGGAAGGTAACGTCCTATAGAGAAGAGAAATAACATTAACAAAAGTTGTTGATCCAGAAAACCATGATGTAACCACTAGCCAATTTGAAATTCTGAATAAAATTAAATTTTTTTATGAAAACCTATACAGTTCTGTAGACTCAGATTTGATCGATGTTAACCTAGACACTAAAAGTAAAAAAAGGATTTAAGAATATTGAGCAATACTGAGTCCCAGTCACTAGTAGGTAAAATCAATGAGTCAGAAGTACTAAGTTTCCTTAAACTTATGAAAAATAACAAATCTCCTGGAAATGAAGGATTTACATCAGAATTTTATAAATGTTTTTGGACAGATATTAAAGATTATCTATAAACGCTTATAATGACTCATTTGAGAATGAAATCCTCCCAATATCGTTAAGACGAGGGGTAATCACTATTTTACCTAAAAGTAACAAACCTAGAGAAATTTTATCAAATTGGCGACCAATATCACTTTTGAACGTCTCATATACAATTTGATCAGACTGTTTGGCAAACAGAATGAAAGCTCACCTCGATAAGATTATCAATGAAAATCAAAAGGGTTTCCTTAAAGGGCGTTTTATCGCGCGCGGAAAATACAAGAATGTTATACGATTTGATCAAATATACTAAAGAACCTTGACAGAACTCTGTTAATTGTTGATTTTTTGAAAGCTTTCGATTCTCTTTCATGGAAATTTTTGAAAAATTTACTTGGCTATTTCATTTTCCCACTAGAATTTATTCGATGGATCAAAATATTGAACTCAAATGCAGAGCTTTGAACACTTATTTAAATTTTATTATTTTGAACATGTAACTTATAATCTGTAAGAATGAATGTGTGAAAGAATCTATTGTGAGAATGTTATATTATTGTACGGCAATTAGCCAGGGCATATTGCCATTATGATCTGGGTATTATGATAATGAAAAAAAACGTCCTATATCTTTTAGACTTACCATATTCTCCAGATCATGACTTATAATCGCAATTAAAGTTAGTATAGTTTTATAGACATAAAAATAGCGATGCGGCCAGTTTACGAAACAGCGCACCTGAACACATAGTTTTGTAGTTAAGAAGCTTTAATTATAATTTCCGACTTTTATTTCCGTCCAGTTCCTACTTCAGGTTCATCTGTGAAAGCAAAATTCAGCTGATTTGGGAAGGTATGGACAATTACCAAAAAGAAAGGATTCTTTTATATTGACCTCTGTCTAAATCACTAATATTTTTAAATTTCAGCAACAAAATATGGTAGAAAGGTGGACTTGGTGTGAAAGTGCTCTATTTCGGTTAATTTAGTGAAATTAGTGTAAGGCCTACTGTATAATTCAAGATATATGTAACCAGATTATGAATAGGCTATCGCTAGCCATACTGTATTTGCAAAAGTACGTCAATATTCTGGTAGGCCTACGAAAAACCTCTTTTAAATTCAAAAGGCTCACTTTAAACTTTTTGAACTTCACGCGTTCAAGACAAATTCTGGCACGAAGGCCATAGTTTTATATTACAATATCTTTCTTTTATCTTACAATTGATATGATCTAGATATCATGATCAGAGGGTTTTCTTGGTATCAAATGGGGAAGTGATAGACGAATAAATCTTACTTCCTAGTCAAAAATAACAAAAACTAAATATGTGATTCACGGTTTTTTCCACACGGAAATAAATGTATCAGCTCTGCATGACTCACTGCAGTCTTGGCTAAATTATAATGTTCAAAAGCCAATTCTATTCAGTACCAAATTTCAAATTGCTGATTTTCTTTGTCACCATATTACTGTGACCAAATTGTGTCGGGACAGTAACCAACTAACTGGTATATTATCTCGAAACTAATTATTGGTCTGTAATCAATTTACTGTGACGTATTTACCTCTAATAGATAACTAACAAGACTAATTTACCTAGTAACCACTTATTTGCCTGTGACCAAATTTCAGGGGACTAAATTTCCAAATATTTTATTCATCTCATGATTTCTTTAAAACAACATATAAAACAAAATATTTATTACGTGTACAGGTTTATATACACATTCATTATACACATTTATATACACATTCACTTATTTCTATACACATCATATTATGATGATAATTTCTTTACATTGGTTTGTTCAGCAATCTCTTCATGTTCTACAGCAGATGGACGCCTTCGACTGGCTGATTGTCCCATATTCGTCAAAAGATCACCATCGCCGTCGCTTATCTAAATCAGAAAAACACAGTGTAAATTCCATGTCATTTTTCTACCAAAACCATCTATCTAGGTCACAAGTATTAGGTTATATAGATATTACTCTACTGTATTCGCTGATCTAGGTCTCAAATATCAGGCGCTGTCGATGTATCTTTTATATAGAGTCACTGATTTGGGTTACAAGTATTAGGAATTACAGATGTTACATTTCTGTAGAATCGCTGATCTAGGTCACAAATATTAGGTATTACAGACGTTCCATTTCTCTAGAGTCACTGATCTAGGTCACAAGTATCAGGTTTTGTAGATGTATCTTTTATATAGAGTCACTGATCTAGGTTACAAGTATTAGGTCTTACAGATGTTACATTTCTATAGAGTCACTGATCTAGGTCACAAGTACTTAATATTTTAGCAGTAATTCTTCAATAGAGACGCTGATCTAGGTCACATGATCTACGTGTTTTAGATGTTACTTTTCTACGGATACAAATATCTACTGTTTGTTACTCTTCTATAGACCTTATCACGTCTCGTTTTTGAGACACTGAAAGCAAGATTCATAACGCAAATTAGGTCATCCATTGATAAGATGGCGACGTCATATGAACGAATAGCATAGAATTACAACTATGACTAATAGCCAATTTGACGTCATTAGACACTCGCTCAACAGCAAGAAAATAGACTTATAACTGCCCTTTCTCAGAGATGTTTAAAGGCAAAATTCATGAAAAAGTATCATTAAATAGTTTCGAGTTATTGGAATTGCAGAAAGAGGCTTTAAAGACATGGTGGGGGTTTTATTCAGTGACATAACGTTACCTTTTCAAGGTTGTCGTTATTAGCCTCGTTCAGGATTCAATATGGCCGACGCGTGAATAAGGTCTATAACATGTAGATGTCACAGAAACATTGATTTAGTGCATAAGTTACTTTCCTACGGTCGATGATCTGGGTCACAAGAATATTTTCCATATTGAGCCCTCTGTCATACCATATAATATGATTAGGATTATATCAGCTAATTTAATATAATAGATGATTAATAACTTACTGAAAGAATCCCAAGTGCTTCAGTATCTTCTTCTTGAGAGTCTTAAAAAGAAAGTATATACATAATTAAACATATACATTTGAATAACGGACACAATTTTATGGTATACTACTCTTTAGTTTTATTACACACTACGTGAGGAAATATGGTACAAGAAGGTATATATATACACAAAAAATAACCCCTAATTAATTGTTGCTATTGATATATTTGTGTGTGTATATATATGTACCTTCTTGTACAATATTTCCTCACTTCACCTGAAGATGACAATGTAGATTGTTGAAACGTAGTGTGTAATAAAACTAAGGAGTAGTATACCGTGTCCGTTATTAAATGTGATCTCTACCCTTAAATGTCGCTAAAGGATTATACACGTATACATTTATCAGTACACAATACAGTCTGCTTGTTTTGAGAGTATATTGTAATGGGCGACGAGCTGTTATTAAAATCAAATTTCATCAACCTAAAGACAATCAAAAACTCTCAGCAGTATTTTGTAATTGGTATTTCAGTTCATATGAAAATGATTGCCAAAATCCAATTCAGAAAAGCATTTTAGTCAGGGAGTATGTATTATAGATATTACTCTACGATAGAGTCACTGATCTAAGTTACAAGTATTAGGTATTATAGATGTTTTCTTACACAGATAAACTGATCTAGGTCACAAGTATCAGGTGTTGTAGATATTCTCTTATAAAAATATACTGATCTAGGTCACACGTATTAGGTATTATAGATAATACTGTACTATAGAGTCACTGATCTAGGTCACAAGTATCAGGTGTTGTAGATATTCTCTTATAAAAAGATACTGATCTAGGTCACACGTATTAGGTATTATAGATAATACTGTACTATAGAGTCACTGATCTAGGTCACAAGTATCAGGTGTTGTAGATATTCTCTTATAAAAAGATACTGATGTAGGTCACACGTATTAGGTATTATAGATAATACTGTACTATAGAGTCACTGATCTAGGTCACAAGTATCAGGTGTTGTAGATATTCTCTTATAAAAAGATACTGATGTAGGTCACACGTATTAGGTATTATAGATAATACTGTACTATAGAGTCACTGATCTAGGTCACAAGTATCAGGTGTTGTAGATATTCTCTTATAAAAAGATACTGATCTAGGTCACACGTATTAGGTATTATAGATAATACTGTACTATAGAGTCACTGATCTATGTCACAAGTATTAGGTATTATAGACGTTACTCTTCTTTAGAGTCACTGATCTAGGTCACAAGTATCAAGTATTATACCTATCTTATATAATAGACACGGATCTAGGTCATTAGTATCAGGTGTTGTAGAAGTAATTGTTCTATCAGTGACTGATCTATGCTACAAGTATGAGACTTTGTTGACATAGAATATTGCAGAATTGATTCAAAAAAATAGAACACTTACTGCTGCACCCACTTGCATAACCGCTTTCATGTCTTGGCAAATCACCTGTAAGTATAGAGATATTTATGATTTGAAAGTTAGTAAAAACATATCTCGCTTTGGTGCTATACAAGTATGTGTCATAGTGTAAAATGACATTGAAAGTTCAAGGAAAGGAAGTTACCCATATAATATCAATGAATAAATAGCAGATCAAAGGGATAGTGATTCATATTGTGAAATGTGTAAATACATGAACCGAAAATAGTAATTTAATTTTAATGGTTTGTTGATAATACATTGAATATAGACCGAAACATCTGACTCGAATCCAGCCTCTGATAGTTATTTTGAAAGTTGTCGGTTAGAGTAGAGTTAGACAACAGCCAATAACTGTCAAAATATTTATTAAAGACTAGAGGCAGATGTTTCGGACAACATTGACTAAGATCTCATTGTAACATTGCCATTGGTCATTGTTTATGAATCAGTCGTAATAGAATGATTACAATATATTAATATATTATGTCTTATTCATTAAATAAAACAGATTAACATAAGCTCAAGCCATTTTCTTTCAATTTTTCATGTGGATTACATCTCTTAATTTCGACTGAGAATTAGATAAAACAGAAACAGAATAACTGGCTACCTGAGATTCGTTCTTGTACTCCCCACAATTCTTTACAATTCTTCAAAATCAGATCAAATTGTTTGGCAATATGTTTACTAAGATTCTCAATCGTTTCCGGCTTGACAGCTTGTTCGGCATTGTCAGCTTCTTCTTGGGGTTCATTATGTACCCGTTGTGCAATTATCCGATCTAGCTTCTTTTTTAAAATCGAATATAGTTTTCGGCTTGTTTCCAACAAGTGGAACAAGCTATTCTTCAAATCGTCATATCTTGTATATTCATACCGAGTATCTGAAGGTTTAAAGAATAAAAAGAAAAAGAACTAGAGCCACTCGTGGCACAGAGTGGGACTTTGCAAATGTAGCAAAATGCAAAAGAACCTTAGATCAAGCGCAAGAACGGTCTAAAGTTGAGAAATTTTCATTTTTTAGAAGATTGTAATACCGGAAGTGGACGTCAGACCTCACAAATGAAAGTATCAGCAGATAGCCAAGGTCAATGACCTTTGATCTTGTAAAGGAGAAGGACTAAAAAGGTCAAGATCAAGAGATATACGCCATCAAAATTTCAAATTGCTAACGACTATAAAACCGGAAGTTGACATAGGACGGCAAATATAAAAGTATAAATAGATAGCCAATGCCAATGACGTTTGATGTTAGAAAGGTCAAGGTCAACAAAGGTCAAGGTCAAAAATTGAAAATTTTTAAATTCCAAAACCTGTTCCTTTTTTTGAACTATGAAGCAAAAACAATTGAAATTCTAAGACAAAGTGGCTCAATATATGAGGTAATTGTATGCAAAGTTCCATTTTGAACAAATGTATACTTTGCGAGTTATGCCTCTGGCCAAAAATGTCAATAATGAGTAATTTAACCCGGATGTGCCACGCCCACTTCAATTTTTTTTGCATAGGTCAATTGATATTCAGAATGTTACGTTATGTTCGAAATGTAAAGCTCCTACATATTATAGGTCAAAAGATATAGGTCAACAAACGTCAACAAAGGTCAAAATCGAAAAATGAAAAAATCCAAATGTTAAAACCCGTTCCTTTTTTGGAACTATAAGGCTGAAACAACTGAGCTGAGGATAATTGATAATTGATGAGGTAATTGTGTGCAAAGTCCCTTTTTGAACAAACGCATCCTATGCGAGTTATGCCCCTGCCTCTAAATGTAAACAATTAGTAATTCAACCCGGATGTGCCACGCCCACATAAGTTTTTTTGTCAAAGGTGAATTCATATTCAAAGTGTCTAGTTGTATTCCAAATATCAAGGTTCTACATCAAATAGATCATAAGATATACATATACCAAGCTCAAAAAGACGCAAATATTGTAAAAAAAAAAAATCAAATTTGAAAAAATCACGAATTTCAATTTTGCTTTAAAATAACGATTGTTATATATCTATGTAAAGTGCATGAGAAGCACATTAGGAAACCGAAAAAATTAACCCTCTAGGTTAATTAGGTCACGTGCTAGAGCAGTCCAAAGTTCCGAATTTGGCTTTTTACAGATAGCTATAAAACCGGAAGTACATGTAGGAGGTCAAAGGTCAAAGTATCAAATGATAGCCAAGGTCAATGACCTTTGACCCTATGAAGGTCAAGGTCATCAAAGGTCAAGGTCACATGGTGTGATCGTTTAAAGCTTTAAAAAATTTCAACCGGAAGTTGCAAAAAAGCAAAAGCGAAATTCAAAATTCGGCTCCCAATGTTTTTTGCGCAATCGATTGCAAACTACATTCATATCAAATTTGAGCATATCAACTTTTACCCTGAGGCCCCATTTTGAGTTTTACAAAAGTGTGTTTTTTCAATATGGCGGCCAAAGTATCGATTCCGGTCTGGATTTTATTTTAAAATCGGCCATAAAATTTTATTTGCCAAAGATCAGCCAAATTTTGTTGACCTACATAAATTACACCGGAAGTTATTCAACCAAAAGTAGATTTGAACTTCAGTCGCTTTCCTGTTTAAAATCGGAAATTACGTACAAAATTTGACTGTATCATATTATTAACATAAGTGAAGTCTCTTTGCATTTAAAATTTCAGATCAATCGATGCAAAAGCAAAAAAGTTGCAAAAAAATCGAAAAATTTGATCGAAAAAAGTGAGCGACGAATTTTCGAATTTCAAAATTTGTCAAATGCTATCAGGTCAGAAATTACAGGTAGATTATAAATGAAAACCCGAAGAAAATCGATGCAAAAATACGCCTTCTAGAGCCGATTTTCGACTTTTTGCACATGTTGAACTGTGGCAATTCCAGTTTTGCAAAAATGTTCCAATATATATTTAAGGAACACGTTGCCACTACAGAAGGTCTAGAGAAGTTGAATGGTTGCTGCAACTACTGCAGTTTAAGCTCAGGAAGGTGTGTAAATTTCGAGAAAAAAAAAGACGAATTTTCGAATTTCGTAATTTTTCAAGTGCTATCAGGTCAGAAATTACAGGTATATTTTAAAAATGAAAATCCGAAGAAAATTGATGCAAAAATACGCCTTCTAGAGCCGATTTTCGACTTTTTGCACATGTTGAACTGTGGCACTTCCGGTTTTGCAAAAATGTTCCAATTTATATTTATGCACATCGTCGCCTATATAGAAGGTCTATGAAGAATTGACATTTCGATAACAAACTGGGACTTTGCGGTAGCAAAGTCCCACAACTAGAGCCACACGTGGCACAGAGTGGGACTTTGAAAGTGGGAGTGAACGTTGAAAGGTTGCTGCAACTATTGTAGTCTAAGCTCAGGAAGGTGTGTAAAAATCGAAAAAAAAAAAAAAAAGAAAAAAAAAAAAAAACTAGAGCCACACGTGGCACAGAGTGGGACTTTGCAAGTGTTCCAAATTTAAAGCTTCTACATCATACAGGTCAAAAGATATAGGTCAACAAGAGTCAATAAAGGTCAAAATAGAAAATTGAAAATATGGAAATTTCAAAACCCGTTCCTTTTTTTGGAACTATAAAGCTGAAACAATTGACCTATTAACACAAACTGGCCAAAATAATGAGGTAATTGTGTGCAAAGTTCCTTTTTGAACAAATGTATCCTATGCGAGTTATGCCCCTTTCTCAAAATGTAAACAATTAGTAATTCAACCCGGATGTGCCACGCCCACCTCAACTTTTTTGTCATAGGTTAATTTATATTCAAATTGTCTTGTTGTGTTCCAAGTTTCAATGTTCTACATAAAATAGGTCATAAGATATATACACACCAAGCTCAAAGAAACAGAAATA